ATATATCCCCTTGGTGCCGGGTATGACGTGTACGTACGTGCTATGCCCACAGTGAGTGCTTGTTTGATTGTTTTTACGCATAGATGGCAACACTTGTACTAACTCCCCAATGAGCCAGTTACGAGCACCGCCCGTCTCGCCCGTTTACTCGTTTCTTTGATTTACAAAATATTTTACGTAATCTTATTTTGCTGTTACTAATGTTAAAAAAAAAATATAAAAATTATAATGTTTATGATAAAAATAATACCATCGATTTTCATTGCACTAGTGAAAATACGTTTTTCCCGCCATTTAAATCAGGCGCTAGCAGAGCCATCTATCGGCAGACATTTCACGAAAAACATAGAAAGTGAGCACAATATTTTCCCCATTTTTTTTTCATTTTCCCCGGCACCATTGGGATATATATATATATATATATATATATTATATATATGGTAAATTTGGAAATGACGCCCAACATCGAATTTCTGATGACAAATATATTTTTCCAATAGTTTTCGTCGTGTTTTCACTGAATCTAGCATTCATTTCCTTCGCAAACAGGGGAGAGCACAATATATCCACTCGCTCCCAGGTTATATAGGGAGCTTCGCCCCCTTAAACCCATTTTGGAGTTTAAACCCCATTTTGTAGAGCGCCTGGTCTACAAAATCTTCACCTCGTATATTCCGGCAGGATAAAGCCCAGGCAAGCAATAAATACTGGCGCGTTTCCGTGAGATATAGGAAACAGAAACAGCTTTACACACACCTTGCCTCACGCATTTCCTCGGGGTCTCCAAGTAATCTTCAAGTCGGTGCTGGCGCGAATCGTGATCGCTCTCCGCCGCTCCTTATCGGGCAGCAGAGGGTTCAGTTCCGCGGCCTCGACCAGGAACTGATGATGGCCTAGTGTGTCTTTTATGTAATGACGTGGTGTCATACAGATCATATATCATACATATCTTACAAAACACAAACATAAGCACTCTCTCTTTCTCTCTCTCCCTCTAAATGAACCACTTTCCACAGATATGTCCTAGATTTCTGTCCCCCGAGTCCTCCAAATGGAGGATAATAATGAATAAGATGGGAATGGACATTTTATATGCCCCAACAACATTAACAATAATAAGTAAATGAAGAAATTAATGGATTAGGTTTCATGATATTTCTTAGTATTTCTGAGTATTTAAGAAAGCCATGCTGCATAAATATTTTAAAAAATCCATCTGTTTCCCTTCATTTCCTCGGACCGTATGTAAATGTGAAACTTTCAATATACAATACCATTTCCTTTCTCGCTGCCTCCTCGTGACACAGTTGGGTCCACACACAGCCTGGAATAGATCACTTGTGCTCTGTCCGCGGCTGCACAAACTTCGCACACACAAATCGGAACATTATAACAAAAACAAATTCGATTTTCTTGTAGCTAACGGCATTCTAACAAGTTTGCGAACAATGGTAAAGGTGTGGTGAGCCCTTTCTGCTTGGCATGTTTCTTTTCATCCGTTCTATGGATTTTCGATAACCCCGGATAAAACATTTCGCAATATCAATGAATTAGATTACCAAATAAAAAAGAAATATGGGGAAAACAAGTTAATTTTTTTCATTACTACGATATTGCATAATTTATTTAAACATTAAATGTAATGATCATGATTTCAGAATAGATAACAAGCCATTATACAAGATATTTCACTGCAGTATCTTTAGAAAATACCTGATTCATTTGTATTTATAAAAGTTTGCCAGGTCTGATGACTGGAATATGTGCTATTTTCCCAAGCGTGCAGCTTACCTATTACCAATATGTTCAATTCTCTGCAACTTGTTGTCGATCATCTCTATGCTTTTGCTTCAGAATCTGTGGCCAAATCCTTTGATAATCGCAGTCGGCTTTCCGGATGTAACTAGAATGATTGACGAACCTCGCTTGCGAATCAACGATTCAGAAGACAGATTGTTCCTTGAAACAGCAGGTGAACTCAGTCCTAGCTTTACCGAATGCAATATATACAGACACACACACACATATATACGTAGATATTACACACACACACACACATACGCGCGCGCGCGCGCACACACACACACACACGCACGCGCACACACACACACACACACACTCTCTCTCTCTCTCTTTCTCTATCTTTCTCACTCTCTGTTAAACACCTTAAAACTCTGTTACATACCCACAAACTCTTTCTCTCTCTGCTGCACACCCTGAAACTCTCTCTCTCTCTCTCTCTCTCTCTCTCTCTCACTCACTCACTCACTACAGGTTTCCCCTGACCCACTTCGCATGGATGTACGTCGTTCAGTTATTAGTTTTTCTCTGCATAGGTTTTACAGAGAGTGACACGCCTTTTTCATTTTTTTATGCAGCTGTGGACTCCTCACATGTAGAAGTTTGTAGATTGCGTTGGAACCTATGAAGTGACTTCAGAAATCAGTGTATCGACATCTTGGAAACGGTTACCCTTCGAAAAGGACTCCGTCGACGGAAAGGTGGTTCAGATGGTGCAAGGTAAGGAGACTGAGGTAAATGAAGAAGTATGTCGTAACAATGGAGGATAGTAAGCTTCTGTAATTGTAGTGCCCTCGTCATTACCCCTTGACTATTTCAAAAGACCGTGAGCGTGACGTTGCCTGCCAAGGGTGTGACACGTGCCTTTTCAGGAGGTAGTGTGTCAGAGTGCTTCCATTGTTTTGACTGGAACTTAGAGTCTGGATTATAGTAACAGATCCAAGTTTCATCTTGCGTAAATAGCTTGTAAAAAAACTCCTCCTGGTTTTCTTGGTAGACGGCTAAAAGAGCCTTGGAACAATGGATTCGTCCCTGCTTCTGGAAAGTTGAGTGGGCTGGGAACCGATCAAGCGGACAACTTTTGTATATGCACATGGTCATAAATGATTTTGTCTACAGACCCAACGCTAATCTTGACATCTTGGGCTACCTGGCGAACCGCAATATGGCGTTCTTCCGAAATGGCAGACTGGGGTCACCCTGGCATTGCCAGTGTTTAACAATGTCATATAATGGCCCATCCTCCCCATAAGTTGCTTTCATTTCATGGAAGGTCTCTTGTGGTGTGCACCCATTCAAGTATAAAAACCTGGTCACTGCTCGATACTCCAATGGTTCCATTTTCACACTTTCGCACACCTTCACCGCTGTAACATGTTAAGAATTAAGAAATCAACACATAAGCTATAATTTCAGCCTCCTAGGATGTGCGGAAGTGGGTCAAGGGAAATCTTTAATGAGCGCCCCTTGTATGTGTGTGTGTGTGTGGAATTCATGTCGAACCAATAGCACGTAGAGCAATGAATGGATGTACAGGAAAACACACGAATATACCGAAGGCCTTTTCGCATTTACTGCTTCATCAGGGCATATGCCTACTTGTAAGTGTGTGTGTGTGTGTGTGTGTGTGTGTGTGTTTGTGTGTTTATGTGTGTGTGTGTGTGTGTGTGTGTGTGTGTGTGTGTTTATGTGTTTATGTGTGTGTGTGTGTGTGTGTGTGTGTGTGTGTGTGTGTGTGTGTGTGTGTGTGTGTGTGTGTGTGTGTGTGTGTGTGTGTGTGTGCTCATCATCATCATCATCATCATCACCATTAGCCTGTATCAATCCACTACTGGACGTAGGCCTCTCCCACACTTTTCAACTTTGCCTTGCGTCTGTCTCCGACATGTATGACCTGCCCATTGCTATTTTTTCTTATTGAAGCCCACAAGCATTTCCACTTTTGTCTGTCCCCTACACACACACACACACACACACACACACACACATATATATATACATATATATATATATATATATATATATATATATATATATATATATATATATATATATATATATATATATATATATATATATATATATATATATATATATATATATATATATATATATATATATATATATTGTACTACTAATGAGGGAAAGATACATACTGCTTTGCACAATTACCCAGATGTTCTTTACTTAAGTAATTTTTACAGCGGCAGTGAAGATCCTATTTGATGTAAAGATGTACCTTACATAATATATGCAAATTCGTCCACCTCGCCTTGCATCACATCTAAAAACATGGAAAAAAAATATGTTAATGAAATTGACATTTCTTGATGAAGCTAGGTTTCAATAATCTACATTATTCTCAGCAATAATCATTTATATTTCTGTTAAGCGACCAAGCAGATAGCGTTTTGACGTGTTTTATTATGAATTAATTATTTGGTTTGACTGCAGGTCTTCCTGAGTGGCGTCAAACAAGGTGATCACTTAATTTTTCGGGAATACATTTACATTGCTTGGTAAAACATTAGATTTGTGAATAATGTAGGATTTATTTTCTTGTTGTTACTGTGAAGCTTGAGTAAAATTTACATTATTTTTGTTTGGTACAATTTTGTCATCGATGCCTTCTTCATTTGTATTAGAGTGACAACTTGCCATGTGTAAGCCTACTATGTGAAGGCGTTCTGGTCCTTGCAATGGCTTTTGTCTTTCTTTTCCCTTTTCTAAAGGTGACGGTGACTGTGACCTCGTCTTCCCGGTATGACAGCTCGTTTCATGTACTTCATTCTGGGATGATGTTTACAGCGTTGGCGTAATAGTAGGGGGGTGGGGGGGCTCCAGGCACCCTGGGTTGTGCTTGCAGGGGTGTTGGACATAGGTGGAGGCATAGAGAGTGTATGGAAGGAAAGGCTGTGTGTGTGTTCAAGACTTCGTGTGATGGACATATATGACATTATTGCAGGGAGAGGCGATGCGATAGCGAAGGGTTGGTAAGTGGGTTATTCAAAGGGGGAAGGGAGTTTGGATGGGGTTTGGAAGGAGCACAATTTTTATTGTTCAGGCACTGGCAACCACAGGATATACCTTAATGTCACGTGTCGTGTACCGTGATTCCTATCACTGTTTTCACTGCCAACCTGATCAATTCTTTAGCTGACAGGACTGTCATCACTGTTATGTTTGGTAAGGATCTATGG